TATATGAGAGTGTGAGCATGCTCAGTGCTAGACATCATCCCACATCGAACAGTGAGATTCCAGCTCCTGATATGAATAGCTGATCCAAGCCATAGCCGAAAGTTAGTTTCGAGTAATGTTCGTAAGCGAATGACGTAAGGCGATTGATAATCGTTTAAATATCGATTAGCTAATATTTTCGTGAGCAAGTGAGTTGGTAAGTAACACATTTGCATATTCAGACCCCTCACAATAACTCGTTTCTACGCTTTGCCTATCCACGAGTAAAAAAGGTCGTCAGCTTATCTCTGTTCTCTTATTGATGATAAAAAACAACCAATCAGCACGCGAGAAATTTGTAAGTTATTGTAAAACTAAAGGCCAATTTAGACGGCACAACTTTCAACTTACGACACAAAAAAAGTTGCATGTAATTTGCTCGGTTTCTTGTTTAGGAGACTGGGGACGGCAACAAACAAGATGGCGGACAGAAAGCGTAGTACAGCCAACCAAATTATTTAAAAGAAAGAAACTGGAACCTCCAATTTGACCTAGCTAGAACTATAGCACGGGAATTTATGTCTAAACATGAAAACTATAAGCATTCAAGTCACAAAATAGCACGATTAATGGACTTTACTCGCTGCATTGCTGCAGCTCTATGATCTTTGTTGAAACAAGACGAGTGCTTACAGTTGAATAAAACTTCCTCCTTTGCCCGTCCGCTAACCAACCTTTCGATTTCAACGCTTGAAATTTCTTTTCTTCGTCTTTGCATTGTTTTGTTTTCCTCGTTTTCGTAACATTTGGAAGTGCCATTTCTGGTTCCGGTTCCATATCGTCACCCTCTCCCCCTCAGTCTTGCTTTTTTCGTAAAAATTGCTCACAACTTTGAGGAAAATCTCAACGTTGTGCAGCTTTTTTCGTGTTGCATGCGACAGTTGTGAGCAGGTTGTACGGTTAGATGGAGCAATTTGAGTTGTAGCTATGTCGTCAGCGTACGCGCGTACAAGTTGTAGGCAAAAGTTGTGCCGTCTAGATTGGCCTTAAAGAAGCATGCAACACCAAAAGTCCATTCTAACTAGCTGAACTTTTGGCAACACTTCAATCAAGAAATGTTTCACTATTTATTTATTCACCTCAGGTAGAATCAGTACTGAGAATATTGAATCASATGTCATATGCACTTAAAAGAATCATAATAATGAATACAAAGAGGAATGAAATACCTCATTATTGATGAATGCTTCTCTCCTTGTGTTACCTATGATATCCTGCAGCAATTTACTAA